TTTCATTTGATTCATAGTCGCGGAAATGTTTTAGTTGTATGACTAAACACATGCATAATTTTATTCAGAATTTAGTTATGCGTCAGATGGTACGAAAATCAGTATTTTATATGATAAGTTTGACTTGAGATTAGGTAATTTTTCACAATGCATCCAGAAATATCTTCAGATATTTTCTATCTTTTGATGTGTAATACTTAGCTTTTAGCATCAACCTTGATGATTACATGCTAACATAAAATCATTTCTTATTCGTCGTATCCATGGCAAATATATCCAAAAAACAAACTTGACAGTTTTATAGAAAATTAAATTCTCTATCTAGCTAGATCAGAACTAAAATTCGAGCAAGTGGCACTTTCCTTAATCACACAAACGGCGCGACTGTGCATCTTTGGATAGTTTATATTTCAGAGCTTATGCCAATCATTCATACGGATAAATCATTAAGAAACTTGTTTTGTTTTTGAATTTCAAAAGCAAAACCGTACAAGACTTTCCAGAAATACAGGGTTGTGCAGAACATTTTGCTAGGGGGATAGAGCTATTATTTCAAGTTGAATATCTAATGAATTTTATACCAAATTAAAGAGCGTCCAAAACTGGATTTATTAGTACTAAATAGTAAGAGTTATCAAAATATGTTAATGTGGAACTTACGCAATTTTCGGAAATTTTATGCTTTTTTTAGCATAGAAAATTAAGGCACCAGCAATTCAAATGTAGAGTAAGATATTTTCTTTTGATATTTTTACATGGTTCGATAGAGCTTGTCGAGCTCTACAAAACTGTTTATATCAGAAATGTTTTAAGCTATTTTTCTGAGATAAAAAATTTTAAAAATGACTTGTAAAATCCTAGAAAAATCTCTAAAAACTCGTTTTTTTCTATGGAAGAAAAACACTTGATTTTTTCAATGAAATTAGCTCTTTTCATTATTTTTATTGATAAAGACACTTCAAAATATACTCATCCGATGCAGCGTGAAAAACTGCGTCTGACGAGTATATCTCGAAGCGTCTTTGCTAGTAAAAATAATGAAAAACCTAATTTTATTGAGAAAATCGAGTGTTTTTCTTACCAATAAAAAATTGCTGGTTCCTTAGTTTTCTGTGGTAAAAAAGCATAAAATTTCCGAAAATTTCGTAAGTTCCACATTAACATATTTTGATAACTCTTACTATTTAGTACTAATAAATCCAGTTTTCGACGCTCTTTAATTTGGTATGAAATTCATTAGGTATTCAACTTGAAATAATAGCTCTATCCCCCTAGCAAAAGGTTATGCACAACCCTATATAATCTATATAACGCACTCTAAAAAAAAGATTCTATGAGTAAAACTAATCTCAAAGAAGAACATATCAGATGAACATCATAAGAAAAGTAATAGATAAAAAAGTAAATGGAAATTTGTTGCAGAGATGCACGGGGCATCGATTTTTCAAGCCCCGCGGGGCCCGCCCCGTGAAATTCACAAACCCGTCCCGCCCGAACCCCGTGTATAAGTTTTATGAAAATCCCCGCCCCGCCTGTGCCCCGAAAAATCCATACCCGCTCCGCCCGTACCCCGCACAGGCAGCTTCTTGGACCGGCCCGCCCGACTCGTCATTTTTGCGACGGGCCCCGCCCCGCTCCCGTGTAACCCGAAGAAATTTTTTATTTACTAAATACTTTTTAATCATACATTCCTTTTATAAACAGATATCTCATCACCATTCTAGCTAAGAGGCTGTTGGATATTTTTTTAAAAACTTTCATCCTCAACAACGCTGGTAGGACAGATACTTTGAAATATCAATACCCTTTCCCTTCGCAAACTTATATACTTGACTCAGGCTAAATTCGATTGTCGCAAAATTAACCATACATAGATGAGATCCTTCATGCTTAAACTTGCACAAAGTATTAAATAAAAATGTTTCGAAGTTGAGAAGAAAATAAAATTTTACTATTGGAACTTTAGACACATTCGAATTACTTCATTTCCGGTGCTGTTCATATAATCTTAAATTGAGCTATAAAATTTTATAACGAAGTCAGGCTAAACTTGCATGAATTACTGGAGAAATCGCTGCTCCATTGTACTGTATACTAATGGAAAAGATAGATATAGCTAAAGGATTAAAATTAACTGGACCAAGGCAAATAATTGAAAACGTATCCGAAACATTTGTTAAACACTCATGAAATTTGCAGTCAATTTGAAAATTAAAATGATAAAAGATACTCTATCAAACTATTTCAAAACAAAATATATTTATTTGTCCAATATGTTATAATTACTCGAAGAAAACATGTTGAAATTTGGCAAAAAATTTTTTGCCTGCTTCACGAAACTTACTCATTTTTTGACCGACACGTAAGACAGATCAAAGAAAAACTACCATTGGATGAAGTAATCAATGCTCTATCTGATCATATAATAATAAAAAAGTTCCTGATGTTTTGTAGAAATACAATAACCTGAAGAAAATTGGTGAAAATTAGTGAATTATCTTGTATAGTTTCCCTGTATTTTGAAAAGTTTTCGTTTCGCGAATTACTTCGTTTCTTTAACGTTTCGATTTGCTGGCTTCTTTTCTTCAGTTCAGTTTTGAATTTGCAATAGGACTTCATTAATTATTGAGTGACTTCAACAATGAAAGATAATAAATGATATAGTTTTGTGCCTATTACTTCGGAATCGCGAGTTCCTATTCGAATGAATTGTACTCTTTCGAGTCAATCACTTTAATTCTGTTTCAAGAAGCTATCGTCTTCAGCGTTATGTTCTACTAAAACAATAAAGAATGTTTATTCATTCTACAATGATTTCATCGTTAAGAAATCTGAATTTTGATAAGAAAAAGAAGTTTTTACTGCGCAGTGTTTCTTAATAAATATAAAATAAGTTTTAGTCCAGTTATTCACTTAGTATAAATTAGTAGTGGAAACTGTGCATGACGGAGGAGAAAGAAAGAAAGACACAAATAACAGACAAGCTTGCACCTAATAGAATCAAATCAATAAACCAATTGATATGTACTTTGTACTATGCATATCTGTAGTAATAACATCTCTTCATAAACTTTGACGGTTCTTTATCACACCCGAAAAAAAATGTTTACCCGCCCGAACCCGTGCATTTCATACCCGCCCCGCCCGAGACCCGTATCATTTTAAAAATTTGCTCCCCGCCCCGCCCGCCCGTGGGCTGGCAAATACCCGCGCCCCGTTAACCCCGTATTTAATTAAAATTTGCTTCCCCGCCCGCCCGTCGCCACGTGGCCCCGCGGGGCCCGCGGGGTGAACCCCGTGGACCGTGCATCTCTGGATTCTATTGCATTCAAAACATTTCATAGGATCATCAGTAGGGAAAGAGTATACATATGAAAGTTATTAGTGAATGTTTTTAGTGATTGCAATGAAATAGATGATGATAAAGAGAAAGAAGAAGGATTCAAACTTTAGATATGAAACTTCCGAATGACATTAGAGTGTTTTAACAAAGTAGAAAATAATAACTGAAAATATCCGATAGAAAAAATGAACACGAGTGTAAACAGACAAGATGTGTTTAAAATCGATTCGTGTTAGACAATAATCAATATGTCTGCTTGCCTAGACTCTTCTCTAAACAAAAAAAAACACAGAAGTTAAGAATTTTTCACGTTCAATTATTTTCACCATTTTTAATATTATCCTACTAAAAACAGCATGCGAAACAATTTTTAAATTCTTCACATAACATCTTTGAGATATTAGAATCAATATATGAAAAATTCAGAAGTTATAAACCGTTATCATTTTTGAAACAATGCGTTGAAATATTAAAAAAAAAAGAATAATTCGTTCGAATTCCAAAAAGACATTATTCAGATCTTCTTTTCTAATGATGAAATGATCTGTATGAAATAAAGCTTAATACTGTTAAATACTTTTCAAAGATCTATTAGAATTCTGGCCTCCCACTGGGGATTCATGAGAAAGGAGAAAAAGTAGCTTTATTGATCTCTCTTTGATAGTAGTTTTAAATATAACGAGTATTGCAAAAGTTTCTGGGAAAATGTCAAACTGTTGTATTTGAATAATTCTTTTTTTTGTTAGATAGAACTTGATTTCTATTTTCAAAGCACATATTTCGCATACGTCTATTCATTCACTTGTAACAAAATTTCTTCGGTTTTTATAAACCTCCTAAAAAGCGGGCCACAATGCTGTGTAATTGCTCAAAGACCACCTACAGCTCTATCTAACAAAAACAAGAGTTAGTCTTTTCTCATCTTCTGTTTACCTATCATAATTTGACACTATTCCACGAACTTTTGCAACATTCGTTATGTTACACTATATTGTACTAGAATTGTGGATGTTCAATAATCTATTAAAGTTATTATTATCTTTCTGACCCACATCAAAATGTTGTAAAGGTCGATTGCAGTTCAATCCATTACTTTTCACCTCCTTTAAATGCATGTGCCTTTTTTTATTACACGTTAGTTCCGCTTTAGTTGTTTTTCTATCTAAAATAGTTGCATATAGTAATTATTTATTTTCATAGGGCTAATATTTTCTCGATATGCAAAAGAAAACTTGTGTTCACTATCATCCATGAACTTACTATTGCTAGAATGTACATTTTACTTTTTGATAAAAAAGGCGAGAAAGAGAAAGAATGAGTATCTAGATTAGAATAATCCGATTATTCTTGCTCACATTAAAAGTTTTCCTATGTGCTCGATATTGCTAGAAAAAATGTCCAATTAATCACGATATATCGATTATTCACCGAGTTTTTTTTACATCAAAAACACAGACAGGGAACATAAATCCAAAAAATGAAGTATTCGATTAGAAAATAGATCTAGAACAGATTATCTATTACGAGAGAAGCTATTGCAGCTCGATTTGATCGTGATTGTAAGTTTCAATGAATACGCTTTTCTGATCATGCCAATTGAGTTACAAATATCTCGTGAATTGTCAGCAAAATGAAGAACTCATTTTTAATTTAATCAATGTTTATGCCTACTCCATACTTTTGTTTCACCTCAGTACCAATGCGTGCAAGTTCCATTGATATTCATCCGAATGCAACATGGTCAACGAATGGTACCACTATGGCTGGAGGAGGCAGTGGAACCAATGAACTCTCTAATCCATATGGTTTGTACATCGACGACGATCTAACGATTTATGTCGCTGATCATTGGAATCATCGTATTGTGGAATGGAAATCTGGTGCAACGAATGGAAAAGTTGTTGCTGGTGGGAATGGATGTGGAAATGGAACTCATCAATTATGTTACCCAGCAGATGTAATTATCGACAAAGCGAGCGATAGTCTCATCATCTCCGATTACAGGAATAGAAGAGTAATTCGTTGGCCTCGTCGAAATGATACTCTTGGGGAAACAATTATTTCAAATATATCTTGCTGGGGTTTGACAATGGACAACAATGGATTTCTCTATGTCGTTGACCGTGAAAAACATGGAGTGAGACGATATAAGATTGGTGACACTGAAGAAACAATGGTTGCAGGTGGCAATGGGGAAGGAAATCGTCTCGATCAACTCTCCGAACCCCGCTACGTATTTGTCGATCAAGATCATTCATTTTATGTGTCTGACTCGGGCAATCGTCGTGTCATGAAATGGGAAGAATGTACGAAACAAGGCATTGTCGTAGCCGGTGATCAAGGAAGAGGAAATCATCTTACACAATTGATGGAACCTGAAGGAATCGTTGTCGATCAATTGGATACTGTCTATGTGGCTGATTCTGCGAATCATCGAATTATACGTTGGCCAAAAGGAGCCACGCAAGGAATTGTCATTGTTGGTGGAAACGGTTATGGAGCACAGTCGAATCAACTCTATTGGGCCGTAGGTTTATCATTCGATCAACATGGCAATCTCTATGTCGTCGATACCGCGAATAATCGAGTACAAAAATTTAACATCGCATAAACTCAATAGGATCATTAATTTTTTTGTTTTGCTCTTTTTTTTGTTTCAAATAAAAAGTGATTGAATGAAAAATGCATTGCATTTTTTCTATTATCGCGCGCGCGACCAGAAACCGCCCTGGTGGAGCCGTGGCGAGAGTAATGCCATGCATGCGCAGGAAGGCTCACATCATTCACATGCCTCCATCCGATGACACGAGTCAGTGAGCCTGCGGTCGGATCGTGTGCCACGGACACCAGAGCATTTCCTGGCCGGGCTTTTAGTAACTACTCGAAAGTTCTTCTTATAAGACGAACTTAATCCCCATGGACAGATCTCACTCCTCGCACTTGTCTAACGAGGGAACTATCCAAAGTGTTAATCACAGATTCGAACGAGAGGTATGCCAATCGATAGAGCTCGACGAGCTGAGCACAGTAGTAAGTGTTTTTCCCGATAGGCCATTTGTGCCAATAGGCATATTATCTTATATGATATTTTCTCTTGCTCAGTGTGCTCTTGTAAAATCAATGATATGTTGCGTTCTTAATCGCGTTACTCTTACGTTTATCTCTTTATGATTGAACGTTGTTCCTGTCTGTCGTAATGCGCTTCTCATTCAATAATATATATCTGTTCTCTCCTTGGCATCATTACTTGTTCATTCGTACATTGTTGTATCTTTGACCTCATCATCTGTCTTCGCATCATTTCCTATTCTACTCGTAAATACAAGCGTGTCATTCATATGTAAACGATATGATGGTATGATGTGTCAAGAAGCACGTCATCTTTGCTAATTATGCTAATGGTTATTACGTCATACGACACTAACATATCTTCTCAATACCACTGGATCATCAAGGGTGACATAAGAAGATGGATGTCCTTTCTACAACAACCGTTAACTAATCTTATAATGCGTAATATTCCATTATATCTTTCCTCTTTCCTTTCTCCTTTTTGTATTGTATCATTTATTCTCTCTCCTCTTTTCCATCCCTCTCCTATATAAGCTCATGTTGTGTATTAGATTGTTACATTTGGATGTAGGCACATTTGGATGTAGTGCACATTTGAGTGCAGTTACATTTGGATGTACAGCATAGTCGAATAAACATCATGCCCATCACTATGGGATTAAAGACATAAATATGCCTCTCCATTTGTCATTAACGATAGTGGAATGCACTAGTAGCTCATTAACATCAATGCCCAACCAGTGGTAGAGCTGCATTTCACCATTTTTCGTTACACCATTCTCAAAGAATTTTATGGTGAAAATTCTCCAATTGAAGGGTGTGGAGTGTGGGTGCGGGTGTGGGTGTGGGTGCGGGTGTGGGTGTGGGTGGGTGTGGGTGGGTGTGGGTGTGAGTGTGGGTGTGGGTGGATGTGGGTGGGTGTGGGTGTGGGTGTGGATAGGTATACAAGAGTTACCTACGCCATCATTCACATCCACCAATACTCGCCTACGCCCACACTAACCCATACCCACACCCACACCCACACCCTTTTCCTTTACAGAAACAAGATTATACTACTTAGTTTCTATTGCTTATTTATCCAACTGGTTTATGTATTATTGTTCTCAAAGTTTATGCTTTTCTTTTTCATGATTCTAATACTCGTGCGATCATAGAGGCTTTCAAGAGGGTTTTTTTCGTTGTTTTTTAAATATTATTTCTATATTATCAAGAAGCTCGTTATCAATTGAGTGTAAAGAGATGCTTGTTATTTCACTAATATTTTCATTACATTGAGAATCTGTTACTGACTTATTTGACGATCGATTTTTCTTGGACCTATAAAAATTATTGGGTTTTCATCTTGGCATGAATAAACATTAGAAGTTATAAAGATTCTACTATCACACAAGAAGCATAAAAAAACCAAGTCTGAGTGTGATACTACGGAAAATCATTTACATTTTTTAATTATCTCACAGATACATGATACCATGTTGACTGAATAGAATCGATTGAATTGAGGGTCTGTGTGCCTTATATGTCAATATTAGTACACCTTTATATTTATCGTCATGATGAAAAAAGGTGTGAGTATGCATATGTGTTAGCAGAGATATGAACAACTCACACTCACACAAACACCCTACCCACACCCACACCCTTGATTCTATTTTTTCACAAGAATATATTTCCATGTATATTTATATATTACATCAGTTTTAGAGAAAAAAAGGTAGTCAAAACTTGACATGAATGAATGATTCATCTTATACTTATATTGCATCATCCATAAAAAACATAAAATATATTTCTTTTCGTTCTGATCCATAAATGAAAGTAATGTTTGAATAAAAAAGAATATAATATGAGTAACAAAAAACAAAAAGAACGAATGCATCGGTCGGGAGTCGAACCCGAGTGGCTCGTGTGGAAAACGAGGATTCTACCGTTAAATTACCGATGCTTATCGATATTATGTACGAATTTCTCCAACTTGATGGATTTTATAATGAGGATTGCACAATTATCCCATTCAAATGATTACATTGCTTGAGTTAAATAGCAAAGTAGAGACTAACATATTTGCTAATTTTGTTTTTCAACATAAACCAAGTCACCGATAAGAAATACATAGGTGTGGGTGTGGATTTGAGTGTGGCTTTGGGCGTAGATCATCATTGCAGCTATACTCACACCCACACACCATGTTTGCCCGTCCCGAACGCGTTTTGCTCATCGTTTGTCACGCGTTCGATGTCGCTACGAACGTTCGTTCTGATTGGTGTCTAGCATATGACTCGTTGCTTGGGTAATTTGCTACTTGATGTCTGTATGACCCATGGAGTAAAATATTGAAGGAAACGGACTGCGTAACGCGTTTCCGAGATTGTAGCATGCGTTTCGCAACGTTTTTGCAATATAGGACGCGTTTCGCAGCATTCGTACTTACATAAAATGCGTTTTGCCACATTCGTTTTTCGAAACGATCCGAAACGCTTTTTTCAAGATTGCGTTTCGAGACGTTTCCAAATTAAAATGCTGTCGAACGCACTTTGGTCGACAGGCGACGCGTTCCACAAATACAAATTGGGGGAAACGTAAAACGCGTTTCTTTTTCAAATGTGTGTTGCATTGTTTTTTCTTGGAATGATGCAAAATATATCCATTCTGCATATCAGAATCTTGCAAAAATTCACAAACACAAAGCATAGGAGTTAAGCAAAGTAAATTCTTTAAAATTACTTTGGAAATGATATGAAATAGCACTTGAAAGTTTTGCTCCTTGCACTATTTTTGTACGTGAAAATCATGACCCAGGATTTTATGATGGCAAGACTAAAATCAAAGTCTTGGAAATTTTTAGGCTGCAAGGCTGTTACCTAGACCTAATTCGAAGTTAGACTAATGTAAAACATCAGAGTGTAACAAAAAATATATTCTTCTTACTTAAAAACTCATTTCACCACGTTTTTATTGAAAGAAAACGTGTTTCGTAAGGTTTACTTAAGAATTGTTTTCGGCTTGTCCACGGAGGGAGATGATTCCGTCACGCTCGTTTGTAATGAATGAGAAGTTACAGACAAATTTGCAGTGTCTCATTTTGACAAGCACAATTTTTTGTCCAAGATTCCAAATGCATTGGATTCTAGAGATCGAGTCATTTGTATGAAATAAAACAAATAAAGCGTGACGGAATCACGTTTTACGTGGACAGGTCGTTTTAAGTATTGAGCATTTCGAAAACATTTAGTAAAGACTGATACTAATATAATTAGTATAGTAACTCTCTTTGGTTATTTGTGAACAAAAGAATTATCGCGTTATCTATAATTTGAATAATTATTAGTTTGACTTCATACTCGAACTAATTGATAAGAACTAATGATACTGTGTACAATACTAGTAAACATGATTTTAGTTTGTACATTGTTGAAGTAAGAGTGACTTTTTAATAAAAGAGATTCGATTTACAAAAGAAAACTCCTTTCATTTATTGATGTAATTGGATAAAACGATGACGGATTTACATTTACAAAAATCTATTAAATCAAGAAAATAAATAAAAGATTAAATTTTAAATTTTTTAAAATTTATATATAAGAAATTTAATTTTTTATATATTAAATACAGTGTAAATCGATTAAATTCGTTTCTATTGTGTATCTAAATTTAAATCTGAAAGAGTTTAAAAAAATGTATCAAGAAAAGACCACACTCGTAATTGGACATAGGCACCAAAGAAATGACAATTTTTAATTCAGTGGAATGGAAACTGAAAATCTAATTTAGTAAGTTTACCCGGGACTCTAAATGACAGTAGAATAAACACTTATATCATTAGATTATTTTAGTCGAACGGTTTGTATACATGTCTTATACTCCTATGTTCTCGTGTTCGAATCCGTGTCTTGACTGCATCAAAATTCATGTAAGTTATAGTTCTAAAGGCCTATGAAAAAATGTAAACGAATACATAAATTGTACCTGCAATTCAAGATCTATGAAGTCATTGGCGATTTTCAATTTTTTTTCCATCTAGAATTTACGACACCACAGTTTGAGAAACGCTGCGAAATTTTTCACAAAAACAATCGTTACACAGCGTTTGTTTTAGCAGATGTGAAACGCGTCAAACCGGTCAGCATTAACGCGTTTCGCAGCTATGGAAAAATGCGTTTTCAGAACGCGTTTTTTT